TGTGTGTGTGTGTGTGTGTGTGTGTGTGTGTGTGTGTGTGTGTGTGTGTGTGTGTGTGTGTGTGTGTGCATTCTCAGCCCTAGCAGGCGGAGGGGTGAGGAGGGAGGAGGCTTGCTGAATGCTCTGGGAAATAAGAGAGAAATCCTCCCTAAATCCCTGGCCGCCGCCACTAATAGCTTAAATATGTTCTTGACAACAAGGTGAAAGGCCCTGGATCCTCAGGCCTGGCCTTGCCTCCAGGAGCTGGAGTCCCAGGCCTGGCTGTTAGGAAAGGGCCCCAGGCCTTGGGTGGTCAGGTGGTCATCCAGCCCTGACCCCAGCCTCTGGCCTTCCTGATATCTCCTTTCTGGGCAACATCCCGCAGGTTCCCCTGGTGCCACCGTCGGAGGCAGTGAGCTCCCCATCACGGGGGCTATACAAATGACACCTACCTCTCAGGATCCCAAAGCAGCTACTCAGGGGTGGGTAGGGAGAGGGCACGCACAAAAAAGAGCTGTCCCCTTGATGCCCATCCCTACCCACAGTGCTCTGCCACCGGAAGCCCTCCCCGCCAAGTTGGCTGTGCCAGTCCCCAGGAGAACAGACCTCAGGACTCAGGGGAGGGCCTTGTGAGGGAGCACGGAGAGCTGGGCCCAAGCCTGGCTCAGGTGGGAGAAGGACATGTCTCTGTGTGGCTGCTGGCCGTGCCTGGGACCTGTGCACACATATGGACACAGAATTGTATTCCCAGGGACATGTTCCTTCAGACACGTGGACACACAGCTGTACACACATACACAGAGACCTGCATGTACAAACAGAGGCACACCTGTACACACAAGTGTGAGCTTGGGAACAAGCAGGTACACAGCTGGACACTGTGTGTACCTGCCTGTGCACACATGAACACAGGAAGGGAGCGCTTGGTTCCCTTGTGGGCTACTCAGGACTCATGAAGTGTAAGAGAAGTCTCCCCAGAGACTGGCCACTGGGTGTTCAAGCCGAACCCTTGAAAAGCTTCCGGAGGTGACTCCAGAGGGAAGCCCCTCTTCCAGCGGCATTCCAGGCTCCATGTCAGAGCCCCTGCCCTCAGGCGGGCCCTGCACCACCTCCCCTCCAGCCAGGCCTTTCCTATGCTGGTCCATGTGGGGTGGACACCCCAGCTCTGCCCTGGACCCTAAGAGCAGGGACCCTGCTCCTTGCTGAGGACCCCAATATCTCACTGAAGGGTGGGTGGAAGCTTATGACCACCCACTGCTTGTGGGACCCTGCCCCTGTCGAGGCCTCAGTCCCCCTTCTGCCTACTGGAAGGGCTGCTTCAAGGGCTGGGAGCTCTGAGAGCTGGGAGGCCCAGCACAGGTGCATGCAGCCATGGTCACAGGCGCCCTCCCGGCCAGCCCCAGCCCACGACGTCCATTTTCTGAGCCCAGGGAAGCCTCCCAGCTGGGGCAGGTATCCCCAGTCCTCACACCTCCCTCCACAGCTGGCTGGCTCAGTCCTCATGCTGGGGACTTCACCCTCCTCCAGTCATGTAAGGAGGGGCGCTGAGCTGACACACTGCCAGCCTTCCCTGCTGCGTCCTGGGCCTGCTCTCTCAGGCTCAGCACCTTTGCACAGGCTGTTCCCTTTCTCTCTCTGCCAGCCTGAAAACACTTCCTTTTCCTTAATGAGTCTTTTCAAGTTCCTCCTCCTAGTGCACCTTTCTCCCCACCCCCATACGGTGCTCTGGTGCCGCCTCCACTGGGCGAGTTTCCCCCTTCTTTGCTCAGCTCTGATTCTGTTTCTGTCCCACCTAGGCTATGGGCTTCCCCAGGGTGTGGCTAGGACCTGTTTAGCTCAGCATGCACAGACGCTCCATGGGGCCTGGCACCGAGCACACAGCCGCCAGCAAGTGTTGGGTGAATGAGTGAATGAGTGATGTGAACTTGTGGACTTCCTCACCGAGTCCCAGCTAGGAGCTGAGACACAAGCTTCCAAGGTCTCCTTTGAGGGGGGCTGCTCGGTGACCAGAGCTGCCTCTCTCCACTTCAGGGAGCCCTGCAATCAGACGCTGGCCCCTCATTCAGCCAACACCATGGGTGGGGAGCACGATGCATGAGGGAGGCCCCTGTTCTCAGAAAGTGTGCAGTGCTCCTGGGGATAGCAGGCACACACTGGAGAACATGGCAGGATATCATGCGGCCTGCGCAATGCAGAGCTAAGAAGAGTGTGGTGTTGTCACCATGACCCTCATTTGCTGATTATTGATGAAGCGCCTGCTGCAGTGCCAGCACTGGTCTGGGGGTTGGGGAACGGCCCCTGCTTGGCTGGGGAGTGCATGGAGAAGAGATGCAGGGGGAGGAAATGATTTATGGGCTAAAGCTGGAGGCAGAGGACGGTGGCACCTCAGTGGGAGGGCT